ATTAAAGTCAGAATTCTGAGATTAAAGTCAGAATTCTGAGATTAAAGTCAGAATTCTGAGATTAAAGTAAGAATTCTGAGAAAAAAGCCAGAATTCTGAGAAAAAAGTCAAAATTCTGAGATTACATTCAGAATTCCAAGATTAAAGTCAGAATTCTGAGATTAAAGTTAGAATTCTGAGATTAAAGTTAGAATTCTGAGATTAAAGTTAGAATTCTGAGAAAAAAGTCAGAATTCCGAGATTAAAGTCAGACTTGTGAGATTAAAATTAGAATTCTGACTTTTCTCTCATATAATACTGAAATAAATTTTAAAAATCAGTTAACTTTATTTTTTTTTTTTTTCAGTGGCCCTAATCCTCTTCAGTAAATTTTCGTTTACAGTTTCTGGGTTATTTGCTTTTCCATTTGGGTGTGCAAAATAGGTGAGAATTTACCAAAATGAGGTGAATATTAAGAGGTTAAAGTACCAGTTAGCAATCAATCCCGACTAATTTGGTTACCAGATAACTTCCCATTCAAACAACATGATGTTATATGAAAGTGGTCCCTGGGCATGAATGCGCTGAATATCCTGCCTCTGTGTTTCCCAGTTTGCTGATCTGTGTCTGGGTGCAAAGCTGCAGCCTGAAGTGGGCCGGGCAAACAGGGGGGAGACTGTGGACCCATCCTGCTCTCCACTTTTAATCAGCAAAGCTTGACTTCAAACTGCAGGTAGAGGTATCGCTGCTGCCCGGTGCATCTACAGGAGGAATACCAGGAGAAGATTCCGCATGGGATTACGTTTGAAAAGCGGACGGGATTATATTACCTCCTCCTCAGGTAGGTTTGAGGCTCCTGCGCTGCTCTCCGGGGAGCTTTTTAATGCAGCATTCTCCCTGATGATTCACTAAGGGGTTCCAGTGATTTATCAGCATGCTGAATTAGATTCCTTTCGCTTCGCAGTTTCCCAATAATCGGATTTTGTTTATTATTGTTATTATAATGATCAAATCATGTTCATATTACAGATGCGAAACATAGAAAAGTGAACTGGATAAAAAAAAAATAATACCAGAGAGAAGCGAGAAAGATAGAGGAAAGACTAAATATATAAATAATAAAGTCATTTCTAATAAAAAAAAAAAAATGTCGTTTGCATTTATTTATTAAAATGATCTGAACCATTTAAAACATGCATGTTAGTTTCAAATGAAGTTAAAGAAAAAACAAACAACAGTTTATTTCTCTAATCAATAGTGATCAACACATA